GCCTGCTTCTCCCTCTCCCACTCCCCCTGCTTGTGTTCCCTCTCTCGCGGTGTCTCTCTGTCAAATAAATAAATAAAATCTTTTAAAAAAAAAAAAAGAAAAGAAAAATGGCAAACCCAAACTGAGATATACCGTATGTATAACATATACACCAGATTTTGAAGACTTGTAAAAAAGAAAAAGGATGTAAAATATCTCAATTTTTATACTGATCACATGTTGAACATACAATTTTTGATATACTGAGGTAGTATAGTATCTTACTAAAATGAACTTCTTGTTTTTCTTTCCCTTTTTAATTGGCTACCAGAAAATTTACAAATTTATTTATTTGAGAGAGAGAGAGAGAAAAAGAGTGCGCGCACGCAGGGGGAAGGGTAGCGGGAGAGGGAGAAGCAGACTCCCTGCTGAGTGTGGAGCCAGATGCAGGGCTCCACACAACTCAGGGTTCAATCCCAGGACTCTGAAATCATGATCTGACCCGAAGTCAGAAGTCAGACACTTAATAAACTAAGCCAGCCTGGTGCCCTCAGATGGCACTGCGTTAAGGTAAGAATGTCACTGCAAGACTTAAACCCGGATGTAAAATGATTAGATTTCCATTCCAAAAAGATCACATGTCCTGGATGTGGCCCTGCACTAGGTGAGACTGGGGTAAAACTGAAAGCAGTTAGAAAGTTCTCCCAAAGAGAACGACCTGACTTAAGGCATGTGCAGTAAGATAGTACAGAGAAATTTCATTCAGGATAGCACAGGTTAGATAGAATTCCTGTAATTACCAGCAGATTTCAAGATACACTGAAATCTAGCAGCTTTGGAAATAGTCGAGACAACTGCTTATCATATGTCCAAATGTGCCCTTGCTATACTACTCTAAATTAAAAAGAAGAAATCACAGTTTGAATCTTGGAGTTAGAAGAGTTGTGGTAAACTCTGATGTGATACTACGATTCCAAGTTCTCTCAGATACCTGTGTTCCACACAGAGCCCTAGTGCCACCTTGCCTGTCCACAGGCAGACAAACAGGTATACACGTGGAGTCTACTGGGTCCTCAGTCAGGGAACATGATCTGAATTTTTAATGTGGCTCTCGGTTACACATCCTTGTTGCAGTCAATGACAGAAGAACCTTGATATAAGATATAAGATCAGGGCGCCTGGGTGGCTCAGTTGGTTGAGCGACTGCCTTCGGCTCAGGTCATGATCCTGGAGTCCC